GGGGCGGGGGCGCCAGGGGCGGGCGCCGAGCAGGAGCGGGCCCCGCAAGACGGCTCAGTTGCAGGGGAGGGAGCCGTAGCGGCGGAGGGTGAGCAGGAAAGGTCTGAGCTGTGACCAGGTAATGCATAGGTGGCTGTTGATTGGCAACGAGGCATTGAATTGTCGATTGACAGTTGATATGCCATTGCGTCGTTGCGTGGCCGGCGTTCTGTCGTTGTCTGGTTGGCGCCGAAGTGGTCGCCGTTCCAAACGTGGAAGGGAGTTGTCGTCAATTGGTGGCTGCGACCGGCTTCTAATCGTCAAGGGTCCTGCACAAGCGGCGCCTGCTTGTGCCCTTGCCAAGCACCTGCTGCGCTTTTGTGTACATCCTGCACCAAAAGCCTTGCTGGTAAGCGAGCTATAGCTATTGCAGAGTCAGGATAAAGGATAATTTCTTGAGTTGGGAATGCCCAGTCTTAGCGCGTGCAGTTGCTGATGGATGGGCCCAGCAAAGAAGATCAGATCAGTCATTTCAGGAAGACGGAGGGGCGTGCAGGAGAGCTGTGCAACGCCGGCCAGGCACCAAGCAGTAAAGGACGATCGCGCACTGCCTCGCATGGATTTCATTCATTGTTGCAACAGGCATGAGTGTGCATGCTTCTGTGTGTGTGTGTGTATGTGTGTGTGTGTGTAAGGTGGTTGGTGTGGTGAGATTCCAGAGTCGACGGAAGCGGCTTTGTACGTCAACATGTTGGCAACCAGCACACCCCAAGGCGTCTGGAAATACTGTAGTCGAATGTAATTCTGCATCCCGATACACGCTCGCCCTTCCCCTCATGCACGCATGCAGGGAGGCGTTTAGGGCGGCGCCGCTCAGACCCACAGCGGCCTCTGCACTGACGCCACGGGACGCGAGCTCGTGGCACCCCTTGTCGCGTCGAGACCTGCTTGCTTGGGGCCACGCACAGAGTTTGCATGGCACTTTGCGTTTATACTGGCAGTTTTGCCACGAACCCAGCCTGACAGCTCTCGCGGCTCGGCAGCCGCCCCTGTGATGGGACGTCCAAGCATACATAGAGGAAGCCCACAGCGCTGTCTGCAAGATCGCCAATGACACGCATGCTCTCTTGCGGCAGCCAAAAGCGGTTGATCAAACTAACCGGCGCTTTGAACGCCGGCTGTGATGGAAAGACAAGGCGGGCCCCAAAGCAAAAGCTCCCCGACTCACCTGAGCGCAGCAGACCTGTACCCGCCGGGGGCGTGTACGCCCCCTCTCTGCATCTCGATCAGGTTCCCTTGAAGGGATTTAAGGTTGTGACCTCCGCACTCCTGATCCCCACAACCACCTGCCAGGCAGCTGGCCCGCCCTAAGTGGCGCCAGCACCCAACAGGCTCCCACGTGCACCGGCAGGCGACACGGCTGCGTTCTGTGCAGAGCACATACTAGCGGGTGCGCCGCCCTGGCCTTCACCGCGGCAGAGGGGCAGCTGCGTTCTGTGCAGAGCACATACTAGCGGGTGTGTCGCTCTGCCGGCGGGGCGATGCAGCTGCGTTCTGTGCAGAGCACATACTAGCGGGTGCGCCGCCCTGGCCTGCTCCGCGGCAAAGCGCCACAGCTGCGTTCTGTGCAGAGTACATACTAGCGGGTGTGTCGCTCTGCCGGCAGGGCGGCGATGCAGCTGCGTTCTGTGCAGAGCACATACTAGCGGGTGCGCCGCAGCAGGCTGCCGCGACTGGGGCGTGAGGTGCAGTCAACGACCCAGGCGCGGCAAGGTGAAGACGTAGTCTGTAGTCTGTAGTCGTGTAGGTGTTGCCCGCTGTTGCTTGACGATCGTCGTTGCGTTGATGAGATCAAGATGGGAGAGGTTGGGCGATGATGATCGTATATGTATGTGTTTGTGATTGTGAGTTATCAATTGATTATGATGAAAAAGAGTGAGGGATGCCCTTTTTGTAGGCGTGTCGTGGAATCGCGAGGGGCAGACGTACGTTTCTGCTGGCTGGTCGCTCGGAAGGCCGCTTCGAACCAACGCATGGAGCCACAAGACCGGCCTGAGCCTTGGCGTGGCGACTGCATGACGTGTGAGGATCATCTATGATAATCTGACAGGGGTTTGACCCAGGTTTGACCAGCGCGGCAGCGCCGCCGCAGACGGCGCTGCTTGCTGCAGTGCGGGACGTCATGCCCGCCTCACCCTGTTCCTGATCCTTTCATTCCAGCTGGTTTACCTTTGCTGGCACAAGTGTCAATCCCGGGCGCTCCTTCCAGCCCGGGACCGCTTATAGAGAAATGAAGCACGGGCCGCCACATGCACGAAACACCAGCCTGCTGGCGCTCGAACTCAGATCTGCCGTGAACCTGTGTGAAAGCACCGATAGCTGCTGCATCCAGCCCCCCAGCGTGGATCTCGTTCAGCATACCTGCAACCTTGGCTGATCCGACTGTCGTCCTGCACATATGGCACTGCACCGCGTACTCCAACCTCCCTAAAACCAAATTCACTGAGATCTGGAAGGACGTTGGGCGTCTGCTTCCAACTCAGCAGGCTGGTTTGGCATGACGTGCCTGATCTGGTTACAGCCATGCAGGGAGGCTGCTGCCACAACAACTGTATTGAGCACATGACTCGGCGTGGTTGTTGACCCCACCCTGCTCCCCGTTGATCGCCAACCGCCCATGCAGGCGCTGGATGTGTTGTCGTACCGCGACAGGGTTAGTTGCTCGGCAGACGGCATTGATGGGAAAGTGGTCGTATTACAGTTTGATTTTCAGTGGCGGAGGACATCCGCAGAGAGCAAGACAGGAAATGCTGGTCACAATCGCAGAGCATGTGTGCGGCCTGCACAGCATTCGGACCGGCAAGTTGTAGCAGCGGGCAGCAAGATGACGCCACGCGCCGCATCGCCATTATCTGCATGCGTGCTGCATGCAAACCTGATCAGACCCAAGTCTTACCAGGCAACCTTGGTCGCAGCAACAGCTCGGCTCAGCAGGGGGGGGGGGGTGAATGCAAGGTTATTGGCTTGAATCTGCAGGCGAAGGAGGGAATGCAAGGTTATTGGGTGTTACATGCAGCCTCGTGACTGCTACAAGTGAACCGGTCAGCGTGGTGCTGCGGTGACCTCGACCGGCACGCACGCACGGGTGTGACACTCTGCAAACATGCAAGTGGCAACCTCGACAAGCATCAGATCCCTCTTTCCGCATCATGGCTGATTGCTAATCCACCCTTGCATCGCAAGCAGCGCAACCCGCAAGAAAAAACAATCGTGATTGAAAGCCGGACCATTTTGCTGTTCATGCGAGCCCGGCATACCGTATGCTAATAACAACATCTTCAGCTACCACATGCTTGATATAAGATTTATGGCACAGTTGTGGCGTTCCCACCAGAAGACTGCCAGTGATCTGAAAAACAGAGTGTAGATCAGGTCCGTGGAAGACCTGCGCACCTCAGCCAGGAACAAGGGGATCGTTCAATCGATGGACGTGGACGATGATGAGTACGCGGGCGCGCCGCCGCTGCTCGTCGTGGGCGAGCAGCTGCAGCAGCAGGAGGAAGCGGACGACGCGGCGGCGGCGCTGTCGCTGGAGGATCGATTCGCGGGCATCGTCCAGGAGCTGATGCGCGACGAGGTGGACGTGGCCGAGGCGCTGCTCGCGTTCAAAGAGGTCAGCACGTCCCAAGTGGAGCAGCTCAGGTGCGGAGCAAACTGCGCAGCTGCGGCACAACCCCCCAGGCCGTCGCCTGGCATGTCAGAGCACGCGCCCGCATGTGCGCTGCCGTCAAGGGCTCAAACTTTCAAACGTTTGACCAGACATGAGCGTTCAGGTCTCACAGTGGCCGGCAGCTGCCGCGCTGCCCTGCACAGCATTATTCGGCCGCCACAATACCCGCCGCCGTTGCAGCCCCGCGCCAGCCCCCCTTTTCGCCTGCTCCCCGCCGCCGAGGCCCAAGCAGTAGCATGCCGCCCGGCACCCCATCTCAAACCGCCCCCCAGGGACCGTGCTTCGTCGCTGCTGCACCGCTCCGCCCACTATCTCCACGCCCGCCAGCTGGCGGAAGACCTAGAGTCGCAGGGAGCCACCTGGGAGCTGCTGCTGCACCTGTACGCGACAGGCGAGCAGCCCGCCGGCATGGGCGGCCCCCCGCTGCCCGGCGCCGGCGGGCGGCAGACGTACAGGCAGGCGGTGCGCGGCGCGGTCAACGGCGACGCGTCCCTGGAGCGCGTCGCGCACGTCGTCGCTTGGCTCGAGTCGCTCGCCGCGCAGCGCCTCGCTGCGCGGCCGCCGCTCGGCTTCTCGGCCGCGGACGGCGTGTGGCGGGAGACGCTGCTGCTGTCGCACGCAGGCGGCGGCGGCGGCGGCGGGGGCGGGGGCGAGCTGGACCCGGACGCGCCGTCGCGGGGCGCGACGGCGCTGAGGGGGGAGGACCAGCGGAACGAGGAGCGGCTGGCTGCGCAGCTCTGGCAGCTAATGCGCGCGGGTGCGGCGCGCGGGGGCCGCGGTGCGGGGCGCACACCGCGCGGCGCTTTGCCTGACCCGCGGTCCTGGGTTGCAGGAAGGGCGTTGAATCTCCTTAATCGCGCATGTTCATGTCGCCTCGGGTGGCTTTCTGCCTTTTTGCGGCCTCTGCGAGCCAAGGCCTGCAGTGCCTTCGACCTCCACCGCCCGACCTCTCTTCGCCGGCCTGTGGGCGCCCCCCCCTTTCGCCCCCAGGCAAGCTGCAGCAGGCGCAGGACCTCTGCCGCCGGTGCGGCCAGGACTGGCGCGCGGCGGCGCTGAGCGGCGGCGGGCCGTGGGGGCCGCTGCCCGTCGGCGCGGCGGCGGCGGACGCAGACGAACGCATGGACGACGAGTGGCAAGCCGAGGACCTGGCCGCGGAGGTGCGCGTGATCTGGAGGGTTGATGCGGTTTACAGCCTGGATGTATGTGATTGATGCGGGCGCTTGCTGGGCGGGAGTGCTACCATGGGGATGCATGCCTGGATCGGGGAGTCGTGGGTTGCAGGATGCACTTTTGCAAGGGGTTGAATGGGGGGTTGCGGGTGCATGAGACTAGCACAGGCTGGGGCCATGCGAAGCCAACATGGCTCGCACACACAGCAGTCGCTTTTCATCTCCGCTGGGTGGATGTTTGTGCGCACGCGCGCTCCACGACCGCAAATCCGCTGCCGAACGCTGCGCCCCTTGCGCAGGTCGAGGGCGGCCGCGGCGCCGGCCGCGCCCTGTGGCGCTGGTCCTGCGCCGCCGCTGCTGACGCGGCCGCGTCCGCCGCGCCCGCCAACCGCTGGGAGGCCGCCCTGTTCGGCGCCCTCGCCAGCCACGTGCCGCGCGTGCTGCCGGTGTGCGGCGGCTGGGAGGACGAGGCGTGGGCGTACTGCCGCGCGTGGCTGGACCTGGGCGCCGACGAGAAGGCGGCCGAGGAGGCGGAGGCGGCGCGCGCGAGCTTCGGGGACGCGGACTCGGGGGCGGCGCACGGCGCGGCGGACGCGCTCGCGGTGGGTTCAAACCCACCCCCTCTACCTCTGGTGGTCCATGGCCCCCGGCCCCTCGCGGCCGCTGTTGTCGACGGCCTTTGATTATCTCAGATCGCGCGGACCCGCACCGCGTGGGGGCGGCCTAGGGTGTGCTTGCTCGATCCCTGTGGCGCCTCTGCGGCACCCTGGCTTGCCCGGCAACGTCTGATCATCATCCGCCCAGACGCCTGCGTCCCAGCCCCTCCTGGGGGTGTCGCGCAAGCACCGCACATGCCCTCCCCTCACCGCGGCCGGATTGTTGCCCGTTCGACTGCCGATCCCCAGATCCCATCCGACGTGCTGGCGTCCCTGCTCGACGGCGCGGCGTCCTCGGGTTACTCGCGCACGGTCAGCGCGCAGCTGCTGCAGGAGGGATTGTCCGTGGCCTCTAGCGAGGGCGGCGCGGCGGTCGCCAAGCTGCAGAGGTGCGCGCTGACCGTGAGCGAGGAGCCCGGGGCAGCCCGCTGCGGGGCCTCCCCCCTGGCCCCAGCCGCCCACGCCCCGGCCGCGTTTCTCGCAGCCATCCGGCCACCCGCCGCGCCTGGGGTCCGGCCGTGGTCGCAACCGCCAAATCGTGCGCGTGTCGCCTGCCCCTCGTAACAATCCTGCTCGAACAAATGCCCCCCACGATGCCTCACTACGCACGCAAACCACCACTTCCCCCCCTCGTACCACTCCCCTCCCTGCCCTCAAAAACCCACTACAGGCTGCGCCGCGACGGCGACCGCTCCCTGGTGCCCGCCTCCTTTGACGACCTCCGAGCCCTGCTGGCCGCCAGCCCCAACCCCTCCGTCCGCGCGGCTGCCGGCCAGCAGCAGCGCGCGCTGCAGCTCGACCTAATGGCGGAGCGCTGGCGCGATCTGGTCCTCGAGCTCGCCGGCGCCGCCATGGCAGCGTACCAGCAGCAGCAGCCGCGCCCCGACGCCGCCGCGGCGGCGGCGGCGGAAGGCGGCGGCGCGCTGCTGCGGCGCGCGGGGGACCAGGGCTTTGCGCTGCTGCGGTTTGCGGCGCACCTGGCGCTCGCGCTGCGCGCGCTGGGGCTGGTGCGGGACCCCGGGTTGATGGAGCTGCAGGCGCGGGCGCATGGGGTGGAGGGGTTGGATGATGAGGAGGAGCAGGAGGCGGCGCGGCTGCAGGAGGTGAGGGGCCCACCCCCTTGGGTATGAGGTGGTGGGGGTTCAGGT